TATATTTAACCACAATTTTTTTTTTTTTTAGAACAAGAGACAGCACGTTTCATCAATCAGAATAGCAAAATTCACAGTTTATTACCATACTGTTTTGTAGGGAATAGAAGAAAACAATATAATGGGAGTATAAATTGGTATAAACACTAAGGAAAACAATTTGGCCATATCTACCAAAATTATAAGGGTACAGAAACTTTAATCCAGTGATTCAACTTCTAGGAATTTACCCTATAAATATTTCCAAATGTAGGAAAATAAAGTACATACAAAGTTATTCTCTGCAGCACTGTTTCTAATAGGGCAAAATGTTAACAATCCACATACAGTCAACACAGCAACTTTTATGCTGATATTTCTCAATACAGTGTTAGATTTTTAGGAATCAGAATAAATATGGCATGCTATCATTTGTTTAGTAAAAGAAAATACTTACGTATATATTTATACTTACATTTACTCATATATGTGTATACACATATTTATATATATACACACACACCCCTGGCTAGTATAATACCTATAGAGAGATACACAATAAACTAGCAATATTGCCTACACAGAAGGCAACTGAGTAGTTGAAAAGATTTTTCAATCTTTCGTACTTTCTGAATTTTGAACCATACAAACGTATTATCCATTCAAAACAATAATGTTAAATATGAAAAACAATAATATCTGATAGAAATAGTAAGAATACTGGCTAAATCAATTTCTCCAATTAAAATCCTTCAGCAATTCCCCATTTCCAAACCCCTCACTTTTGACAAAGTTTTTCTAAGGCATCACCCTTCTTTTCAAGTATGTGAACTACATTCCAGAAAAATGTACCTCAGCCTCTAGTCAAATTAGACATCTTTTCTCACATTTTACTAAGAATTTCTTTCTTCCATTTTTTTTTTTTGGAGACGGAGTCCTGTTCCGTCGCCAAGTCTGGAGTACCGTGGCACTATTTCGGCTCACGGCACCCTCTGCCTCCTGGGTTCAAGCAATTCTCCAGCCTCAGCCTCCCAAGTAGCTGGGATTACAGGCACGTGCCACCATGCCCGGCTCATTTTTTGTATTGATTGATTAAGAGTCTCACTCTGTCACCCAGGCTGGAGTGCAGTGGCATGATCTCAGCTCACTGCAACCTCTGCCTCTCAGGTTGAAGCGATTCTCCTGCCTCAGCCTCCCGAGTAGCTGGGACTACAGGCTTGTGCCACCACGCCCAGCTATTTTTTTTGTTTTAGTAAAGACGAGGTTCACGATGTTAGGGAGGATGGTCTCAATCTCCTGACCTCGTGATCCACCCTCCTCGGCCTCCCAAAGTGCTGAATTGCAGGTGGGAGACACCACGCCCAGCTAATTTTTTTGTATTTTTTGTTAGAAACAGGTTTCACCTGGTTGGCCAGGCTTGTCTCGAACTCCTGACCTCAAGTGATCTGCCCAGCTTGGCCCCGAAAAGTGCTGGAATTACAGGCATAAGCCACCGTGCCCAGCCACTAAGAATTTCTTTAAAGCCACAAATAAGCAATTTTTAGCATAATAAAGTTTTGCGAACCACATATAAAAATAGAGTATATTAATAAAAAACTCAACTTCGATTAATCTGGAACACATGCTGTTAAGCATTAAGCTCTCATCAGGCGTTTCCGATATTCTACAGAGAGGCTGTCTTGAAGGGAAACATTGGTAAAGAAACGGCAGCAGATTTCAAGAAGTCTTTTGGAACTGCCTGCAGCTACAATCTATGCATACAGTTCTCCCTAAGCAATAAATGCCATTTTGAATTGTGAGAGAGGTCGATGTATCTTTTCAGGGAAAAAAGTTCTTTATTCCCTTTATTTGAAAAAGCAGAAAGCAAAAATGGAATTTCTGTTAAGACTTTTTTCAAAATATTTGTTCTTCTCTGTAAGTCTATTCAGAAAGTATTCAACAGATTTTGAGGTGGAAACTACCAACAGGTAAATAAAGAATTTATATTTGTTAAAAGGTGTCATGTTCATGACTTAGATTAGCAGGCAAAAGATCAGATAGAGCAAAATTTACGTGGAAATACGATGTCAATGTATTATTCACACGACCTCAAAAGAACTCTTCTGGTCGAGTTCCACAGTCTTTATTAAATTCCTGACAGTGACTTTTATTGTGAAAAAACCTGTCTTTCCTCAAACTAGGCTCCTTACATTGCACCTAGCAACAATGGCAATTTTAAGTGAAACAAGTCTGTAGAACCTCTAATATCAGAAAAATCTAAACTAGAAACAAGGAGCTATTTATCCCCAAATTTGGCTCCCCTCCATCAGCTCTACAATACTGCTGCATCATAAGAAAGGTTATTATTAACTTAGATTGGATGCTATTTTTAGTCGTTCATAAACATTTCTAATGAAACTTACCGAGGAAAGAAAACATATTTCTGTTTTTAAAGCAGATCTTAAAGAACAAAAAATGGGACTGCATAAAAAGTAATGATAAACTTAAAGTGGAAGAACTATTAATACCTTACATACGGAAACTGTGTCAAATCATGGAAACTGAAATTCGAAGATTACAGGGTAACCAGCTAACTACTACTCACATTAGCTTCCTAATTAAAATTTATCTGTAATTTAAGATTGGAGACAATATAAGCAATCTAAATGCTTGCTTATCCATACTAAGATTCCTATTATTTTAATCTCACTACCGCTCTAGTTTTTAAAAACACTGCAGTGTCCAAGAATTCCTTTGTAATACATAGTTTCTGAAATAATTAACATTTAATAAGATTAAGGTATTTTCCCTGCAAACACTTAAGGTGGCGATTATCTGTGCAATGTCAATATAAGCATGTCTACGCACATCTATCTCATTTCCAGGATTATTTTTTCCATTTTGCATGTCCTTGCTTCCCCCAAGTGGCACTCACCTCAGTGACACAGGACGTTAGTAGGGATAACGGTGATGACTAATAAGCATCAGTCTAGGTGTGGCAGTCTTCCTATGGGGCTTAATACAGCAGAGGTACCATCCTGAAAGAGAAACCAAGTCTTTCTAACCAGCAGCAGCTCACAGTCCAGACTGAAAGGGGGCACTGAGACTCTCCACACCTGACACTCGTCTTCAGCTGACACCACGAGTTTGACTCCGTCCTGCCTCGAGCCACGCCCGTAGGACAGGTCGACACCACCCCGACGAAACAAACAAACTGGTTTCCGAGCCCCTTGGAAACGGCGGGGTACAGCTGGGGGAATGCCTCCGTCACCGCCTCTCCAACTTCACAGAGGTTGTTGCTAGTGGCCACCGCGGGGTGGGGACAGGCGGCACTCGGGACTGGGAAGCTACCTGGCTGCCACGTGCTCCTGCCTCGCAACAGCGGCTCTAGAGTCCGAGTTATGGGGACAACCACTCGAGACGCCAGGGTAAGGACTCCGCAAGCGGGCGTCCCAAAGCAAACGCAGACGAAGGGGGAGCGGCCGGCGCGTCACCGGCGCTAGAGTGTGACGTCAGCGCGCGGAAGGCGGCACGCTGCGGAAGCGGCTGGAAAGGAGCCCGGCGGCAAGGCTAGAACTGTGGGTCAGGAGGGGTGCGAAAGGACGGGCGGGGCGGGTTCTGCAGGCGGGAAGAAAGAAAAGAGACATCAGGGATGAAAAAGATGGAGAGGAGTGTAAAGCTATTAAGAGTCATGCAGAGATAAGGGAAAGAGATCACTGGTTGAAGCCAATTTGGAATATAAAGCATGTAAAATTTTCCCACGCCTACTAAAAAAAGGGACTTTTTTTTTACTTGAAAGCGCACTTAAGAATTACTACTTACCACATTTTAAAAAGTAATTTCGCTTTAAAAAGCAAGCTTTTCCCTATTATATTTTGGATGGTTAAAACAAAGAATGTTTAAGTCTTGAAAATTTTTTTTAAACTGTAATGTGGTTTTCTATACCTTTACATCGAATAAAGGTACAGACGGCTATACACCGCCAAACCCTTCAATATACAGACAAGTAGTTTATAGTATGTATAAATAAGATGTATAAACTACTTGTCTGTTCATTGAAGGGTTGGGGGTGTATAGCAGTCTAAGTACCTTTTTTCACTGCGGGACTGGCGAAGGTAAGAAGAGATTTCCCCTAAAACTATAATAACGGATATCAGCTGGTGTCACCCTGAGCGGCCAACCTTATTCCTACCAGCGACATTGAAAGGTTTTGGCAGCTTTGCCAGAAGACGGCGCTGCAAGTCACCCAAGCTGAAAAGCTGGAGAAAATTTGCCTTGTTTCATCTCCTCTTCAATCTCTATACAGCTACAAAAGGCTGATTTTCCTCATTCTTTCCACTTCTAGACTACTCTCTTGTGGGCCCTCCCACCCCCGGTCAGTCGGTAGGAAATCTGGTGTCTGAATGCACAATTGTAGTTCTACCCAAATCCTTTTGTACATCAAAGTGAAGTGTTGCCAACGGCTAATCTAAGCAAATTCTTTTTGCTGCTTACAGGAAGAATGGCTAGTCAGCTAACCTCCTTAGAGAATTCTTTAGGCTCATGTCATAAACTATTGGTGGGACTATAAAATGCTACAGTCTTTCTAGAAGGCATGATAGCAGTATGCGTATCCTCTGACTCAGCAATTTAACTTCTAGGACAAGTGAGCAATGATTTATATACAAGAATAACCATTATTGTTTATAACCAGAAAAACTAGAAATAATATAAATGTTTAACAGGGAATTGATTAAATTATAATATATCCAAACGACGAAATAATCTAAAGCCATTTAAAACAGTAATCAGGATCTATTTTTATTGACATAGGCAGATACCATTGATATATCAATCATATAACTTACTTATATGCCATTGATATATAAAGCAGGTTACCTAAGATGATTACTTGATGATTCCCTTTCTGGTTTACATAACCCTGTACAATTAATTTTTTTTTTTTATTTTTAAACAAGAATACTTTGGGGCTTCTTTTTCTTTAAATATTTTATTGAACTTTTCTTTCAAACAAAAAAGTTTTTGCTTCTTGCAACAAGCAAATAACACAAGTGCACAAAGATAGAGCCCACCTCCTCCTTCCCAGAGCTCCCTTCTGTGCTGTCCTCCACAAAACCAATGTTAACAGTTCCATGAATATCATCTGAATTTTTCACTAAGTTCCTAAAAATGTAAAAACCTAAGTTCCTTAGTTTTTTTTGTTTCTGAGACGGGATCTCATTCTGTTTCCCAGGCTGGAGTGTAGTAGCGCAATCTTAGCTCCCTGCAACCTCTGCCTTCTAGCTCAAGTGAGTCTCCCACTTCAGCCTCCCAAGTAGCTGAGACTACAGGTGAGTGCCACCACACCTGGCTAATTTTTTTTTTTTTTTTGGTAGAGACAGGGTTTTGCCATGTTGCCCAGGCTTTTTGTGTGTGTTTTTTTGTAGAGACAGGTTTTACCACATTGCCCAGGCTGGTTTCGAACACCTGAGCTCAAGTAATCCACCTGCTTTGGCCTCCCAAAGTGCTGGGATTACAGGCATGGGCCACTGTGCCTGGCTGGGATTATGGTATACACATTATTTTGCAACTTACATTTTTAAATTTAATAGTATAACATGAACATCTATGTGGATATCAACTAATTCTTGTGAATGATATTGACATTTCATGATATGGTATATCTGTCCTTGGCTAGGATTCAGCAACATTTTCTAAAGGGTAAGAATTCTGCACCACATTGGGTAATCATTTTTTTAAGTTGCTTTATATTANGCTAGACCAAAATCTACTCCATTCAGTAGACATATTATTTCCAATGGTATAATTATTTCTGTGGGATAGATTTCTAAAAGTAGGTTTGCTGGGTCAAAATGTATGCATAGTTTTCTCACTTTAATACTTCTATGTTTTGGTTATGAAAAGTTCTTAACTCTTTATTAATAGTGGTAGTATAGTAAATGGGAGGGGACTAGCAGTATGCCTGAGCTATTCTACTAGAGACTTTTCAGAAATATATTCTGCCATGCATTCACAATGAATTAAGCACTATATGTTAGATGATGGGGACAAACATATTCAAGGAATGGATATTGTTATTCCTTTTTTCTAGAAAGCAGGCAGCAAGCTGAAACAAAATAGAATAACAAATAGAGAATAACACATTAGAGCAAATGGCTGGTATAGAACTACACTGAAATATTTTCCTTTTGTAAAATTCATATGTAAATGATGTTATTAAAAGATCATGTAGTTGTGAAGGTGTGTCTGATTATACTGATCTACAATCTTTTGTGATTAGAGAAGGACCTAAAATATTAAATATGAAGAAAAGCATTCTCTAAAATCCAGATCTCTTGCAGACATGTAATATTCAAATCCATGAGAGAAAAAAAAGTCAATGTCTTGGCATTTAGTACTCCACCTTGCTACATTCTAGGAAATTTTTAGTATTTAAGCCACATTCCTGAAAGTCTACTCTAGCCTTAGTTGGTTTGAACTCACCATTAACTCTGTGTAGCTATGAATTAAACTGTAGCAGCCTAATGCATTTCTGGATTTTAATCTGGTAGGCCCAGTTCCATATGCAAAGATAAAACATCTAGTTTGCTCCTGAGTTTCTGGCTTTCTGAATTGGGTCACCTGCCAGGATTCACAGATGAGTCAACCATCTGAAGAGAATGATCATAACCTGTTTCTAGGATGAATAAAACAAAACACTGTGCCCTTAGCTGTGTGCAGCCTGAGAAACAAGTCACTTCACGAGTCTGTTTTCAGATATGATTGGCTGAAAAAGCTTTGAGTGTATCAAGTCCTACTGAGGGAGTTTTGTAGGAAACAATCACACTAAACTGGAAGATTGTTTGCCATGTCGTCAGAGGTCTCAAATTGTAATCAGAAGTGCAAAGCTATTTTGGATAACTTTATGCTATCTTTGGGGAAAAGACAAAAGAGAAGAAAAGGATACTTTGACTTACTTCTATGATGCTAGTAGGATCAGGAGGAAATTCTAGACTAGAACCACATTACTATTTTCCTGATAGCACATTAGAATCTCTTCCATTCTCTCTGAAACATAAGATCAAAGTTCTTTTGCTGAAACAACTCATAAATACATGAAGTAGAGCTATAAAATCTTGTTTGATTTTTCTGTGGAACTTTTAAAATATGTTTTTGAGGCAGAGTCTCGCCCTATCATCCAGGCTGGAGTGCAGTGGCGCCATCTCGGCTCACTACAACCTCCGCCTCCTGGGTTCAAGCGATTCTCTTGTCTCAGCCTCAAGAGTAGCTGGGACTACAGGCACCTGCCACCACACCCAGCTAATTTTTGTATTTTTAGTAGAGACAGGGCTTCACCATGTTGGCCAGGCTGTTCTTGAACTCCTGGCCTTGTGATCCACCCACTTTGGCCTCTCAAAGTGCTGGGATTACAGGCGTCAGCCACTGCGCCTGGCTTAAAATGTATTTTTTAAAAGTTGTTATGGGAATTAATCCTATTTCTGGGTTTTTTTTTTACTTCAAGGAAAGTTCACAGTAACTTGACTGATCCAGGGAGCAAGATAGAAGAAACTGAGATATGATTCCCAGTGCTCTTTACTTTGCCATTTCTATGAAATAGTATCATACAACCTGCCACTCCCAGAGGGATAGAATTGCTGGCAGAGGGAAAGGTTTGCGCTACCTCAATTTGTTTCTCTTGTTCATATCTGCCAGGAACCTATGATCCTACACCTAGTTGTAATTGGCAAACGCTTACACCGTGAGTCAATCTTTTTTTCCTTTTCCCTTTCCTTGAGGCACCAATAGTTTTCTTGGTTGGTTGGTGAGGGAAGTGTAAAGCTAATTTGAATACTGGTTACATATTTGTTATTATTAACTTAAGCTCCAACCGGTCCTAGCCAGAAAAATCTGACTACAGAAGAAACTGACCCTTTTCACATAACTTATTTTGCTATATCTCCAAATACTTCCTGTATACTGAGGGCTTTTAAAAAATGCCTAGAGACTTGTGGTTGAAAGAGGAATTTAAGCACCCTATGGTAGGCAACATAACACCCCTCACTGCTGCCCCAATCCCTGGAACAAGTGAATATATTAGATTACGTGGCAAGGGGGAATTATATATGGTATGAGAAACATTCAGCCTTCCATTGCTGGCTTTGAAGATGGAGGAAGGGGGCAATGAGCCAAGGAAGTCAAGTGACCTCTAGAAGCTGCAAAAGGCATGAAAGTGGATTCTCCCCTAGAGCCTGTAAAAGAAAACAGCCCTGCCAACACCTTGATTTTTAACCAGTGAAACCTATGGCAGTCAGACTTTCACCCTACAGAACTCTAAGATCAAAATGTGTACTGTTTCAAACCAGTAAATTTGTGGGAATGTGTTACAATAGCACTTGGATACTAATACAAACTCCTCTTAAGGTTCCAGGAGCAGGTATTTACAGTATAGTGATCAGGTGGGCTGTTGAATTATTTTCAAATGGGAGAAAAGCCCACAGTTGAGTCTGTAAACCGCCTTACTGGGAATTATCTCGGCCCTAAGAAGTTCCTTCTTAATCACTCCCACTAAAATAAAGGATCTGGTAAGAACGCTGATCAATCAGGATCCTTTCTGTAGTATTTACCGTGATGGAATGAGATCAGGCTGAAAGTACTCACATTAGGGCACTTAAAATGCACCGAAGATCTGGCTGTGGTGCTTCCACTGTTGTTTCCTCCCACCAGTCTGTTGAAGAGGAAGTTCAACATCACCAGATTCTCTGACACAAACACCAGAGGGATTGCAGAGAAAGTTTTTTTTCGCAGATGTGATCTATTGTTTTGTCACCAAGCAATCACATACCACACTGTTTAAATATATTGCCCCACAAGTAACACAGTGTTTCTGACTGAGCCCCTTGGATCAACTAGGAATAATTAAACACTGGGATGCTTAGGTCCAACATGGGGACAATGAAGACAGGATTTCTGGGAGTGGGGCCTAGGCAAGGATATTTTTCTGAAGCTCCCTAGATGGCTCTGATGCAAAGTGAAGATTGAGAACCACTGGTGCGATGATTATGTATGCCAGAAACCATCACCTGAAAATAAGTTTTCATAAAGGAATAAGGTAGTGCATAATAGGAATAATATTACAAAAAACAAAACGTGCAGACTTGTTCTCGCACAGTTAAGAGATCCTTGGGACAATCCTCCATGAAGAAACTAAGTACCATAAAAGAATTTTTCATCGTTGTAGAAAGCAGGTAAGATTGACTAATAGACCACAACTACTGTCTACATTCTTAAAATTTACGTGCCTTTCCAAAATTAGCTACGTAACTACAGTGAGAGGAAAAAAAAACATGTGAGTAAATCTCTTGTAAAAATTCCACTTAGTTTGGAAAAGTTTTTGCCTGCTTTTCCGCATTTTCTAAGAAGAATCTAAGAATCCTGGCCAACAGTGTCCCAGGTAAGAGAAAATTATGCTTGGATTACCATAGTTCTACAAACCCTACCTTGATAAAAGTAATGAAAGAGGTCCTGAGAAGCTTGACTGCACTGTGATCACCATGCGCACTATACCAGCTGGGAAGCCCCGAGCTGTCTTTGAGAATATTCAATTCTGCTCTAGAAGGAAAGAAATCGGTGAACAAAGCTCACGTGTTGCTAGCCTGCAAAACAGATAGTCAGTGGACTATGTACATGTAAAAACAGAAAACGCTGGAGACCAGATATTATTTAATATTCATGAAGCACAAAATAGACAACAGGCACTTAATATTCCTTAGTAAGTGTATATTCATAACATACTAAATAAACAGGAGATATTAAACGTTCACGGGTCTCAATTCTGCCACCCAGTGGTGACACTCAAATTGATCCCGCACATCTGCTAAAGAAATGCCAAACCTGTACCCGCTCAGCAGGCTGTCAGCATGCTACAGCTGTGGCCACGCATTCTCCCACCGCATCGCCCAGCCCCTGCATCGGAACATAGCTCCTTGAACGCGGGATCAGGTTTAGTAAATACTGTGACCCACGCTGGGAACTCAATACATGTTTGCTACACGGAAATGAACTCAATTCAGACCGTGTAGAAACCCTAGCTTACAGATTTTCTCCAAACATTTCATTTCCAAGCGGTATTTTTGAAAATGCGTGATGGCTAAATTCGAGTTACCCTTTTTGTATGTATGTTAAGGACACAAGCAGCGACGACAAACGAGGCGAGGTGACACCACTGCACTCCCTGCCCGCACGCCACCTATAGGCGCAGAGGGCTTTGGGTGCTGGTTTCAATTCAGAGGCCGGCACTTTTCTCCGATCTAAGTTTTAGGAACCTGTGCTCGTCGACGGCTGCCAACACTTTTCATTTTCACGGCCGATGCTTGCTAGTTTCACAAGCTGCTCCAGGACGCTGTGGCCTCTCCCTGGAGTGAATCCGAGCTCCGCGTAACACTGGGAACACCCAGCGCCTGTGTCCTCACCGAAACGCCTCCCACAAGGCGGCCGCCTCGCGCGAGGTCACGGGCCAGGCAAACAGGAATGCATGACTGACGTGAGCTAATCGCTAAAGAAAGGCTTTGCAGTCCGCGCGGCCCTCAGAATGAGGCTACTGGCCCCGCTCCTCCTCCTCGTGACCCAGCCCCGGCCCGCCCACGGTTCTCACGCCGTCCAATAGGCGCCGACGCGGCTCAAAGACTCGTCGGAGGAGGAGGTGCTGGGACGGCCTGACGCTGAACGGCCGTTCACGTCAACGCCGTGGCGTCACGCGTCGACGCCGGGGACGTACCTGTCGGACTCCTGACTCCTGCAGCTTCTCTTCCCTTTCTGCGGGTCAGGGCCGGTGCGGTCCGGAACCTGCAGCCCTTTTCCCAGTGTCCTAGTTCGCCCGCGGCCCGGAATAATGAGTGAGGAGGGTGTGGTGGGTTGAAAGCCATCCTACTTTACTCCCGAGTTAGAGCATGGATTCAGTTTTAGTCTTAAGGGGAAGTGAGGTTGGAGATTTTTATTTTTAATTGTGGGCAGAAGCAGGTTGACTCCAGGGACCTCCAAAGCGAGAGGGTTTAACTTCATGTTGCTCCCGTGTTTGAAGGAGGACAATAAAAGTCCCACCTGGCAAAATTTCCGTAACCTCTGCAGTAGAAAACGTCAGGTATCTTTTAAATCGCGATAGTTTTCGTTGTGTCAGGCTATCTCCAGGTGGAGCTCCCAGGGTAGCTAGGTTTTAGGTTTGAAACAGATGCAGAATCCAAAGGCAGCGCAGAAAACAGCCACCGATTTTGCTATGTCTCTGAGCTGCGAGGTGAGTTGCATTGTATGAGCGAAGATTCCTCAGCTCTCAGGTTCACAGATTTTGGGTCAACTGTGAGGCCATCGTGGTTTCTCTTACAATGTACCCACATGATGTTGAAAGGTACTTCATGAATCGGGGTGCATACCCATCCTGATCCGGTGTATACCCTCAGACATTCTTTAAAATTTCACACATCTGCTTCAGTAACCGTCGAAGGACCTCTGAATAGAATGGAAATGGGTTCCAGGAAAAGATTAAACTTAGAAGAGTGGGTTTTACTTTCGCTAAATTTTCCCCAATTTAAAAATAATATTGTTTTTCTATCTTTAGATATATGTGTATGTAAAATATTTTGTGTGTGTATAATATTTGTGGTTTGATCTTAAATCATCAGAAACTGCCTTAGAATCTCAGAAATTAACTTTGCATGTGGTATGCTTTATTTGTATGGCATTTTAAAACTGGAGCACATAGAAGATAATTACATATGTCGTGCATATTAGAGACTGAGATTTCTGTTTCCTTTGGAAAGAAATTCCTGTTTTTGGAATTGAAGCAACAGTGACCATAACTTTCACATAGATATATAATTCATAAGTTCTGATTTACAAACATAAACTTTTTGAGCTATGCCATTCAGTTACTGTAGCATCATTGTGGCTTGTATAATCATTGAATCTTTCCAGAAGCGCTTTTACTTTCATCTTTAAATAGTTAATTTAGAAGATTTTTTTTTTTGATGAGGTCAGTATGGAAATAGCTATCAGTCAATTCTGCATGTCTTTGTGAGTCACTACCAAATAGTATTTGTTCAGTTCAAGAGTACCTGTGGGCGTTAAAGTGCTTATGTATATATTGTTGACTTTCATCTTAAAAGGTGCTGCTGCTACTAGTGACTTGTTATATAGTATGGCTTTAAAAACCGTGTGTGTGACCTACAGATAAATTCTCAAATTGAATATGCCCTTATGGCTTCTAGTCAATAGAGACAGTCACTGTTGGCAGAATTCATCACAAATTGCATACTCTTCCCACCTTTTACTCCCCCCACCACCTCATAAACTTTGCTGCTTTGCTTGAATGATGAGTTAAATTATTTTAAGAAGTTGATATGAATGTATAGTACCTCCGTCTTTACTTGGAAATTGTGCTTTAGCATGTGTTATCAATCATACATAGCTCATTAAGAATGTAAATATGTCAGCTACTTTTGGTTAGATGTGGTTCAGGGGCCAGATTTGTTGATGTTATGGGTTTGTGTTAGTAAATTGGCTGTTTTCCAGATCATGTTACTGGTAGGCTTTGCATTTCCTGTTGTGACATGTTGGTAATAATTTTCAAAAGGCTCAGGAAGCCAGATTTGATCTCTGTGGTGGGTCCTATATCAAAGCAGCATCCTGTGGGGTTTGGCCACTATCACTGCTTTGTAGAACTTCCAACTTAGTTTGGTAGTCAGACTTGTCAGCAGGGATCTAAAATGTATGATATTTTATAATAAGTGTTAATATTTATTGAATGCATTCTATGGTTTCAGGTTCTTTTCCAAGTGATTTTTGTGAATTATCTCAATTTTCACCTCAACTCGACGAATTAGGTACTTTCACTAATCCCGTTTACATTCATAGAAACTGAAGCACAGAAAATTTATCCCGCCCAACAGTGGCTGTCAGAACTGAGACTGAAGCCTGGGAGTATGATTTCAGAGCTCCTGCTTGATGCTGCACCATATTGCAATTTAGAATAGTCAAAATACTAGAGAAAAACCATAAGAGACAAGTCGTGTAGGTTCAATTATAAAAGCAACGTAAAATTACAGAAAGTCTGGGAAACAGTGTTTTTAAAAGGATACTCATAATCTTACTAGTCTCATAAACTTTTAAATTTTTAAAATATATACATTCACATCTGTACATAAACATTGTAGCTGTGATTCCTTTTGATTCTTAAAGATAAATCTTCAGTAAAGCTTAAAATGGAGAATGAACCTCACTGCCTCACTTTCATTGCTGAAATCTGGAGAGATTTGATCTGCACATTTGACTGGAACCAAGTTAAATAAATGTATTTATTGCTATTTCTTGTGGGATCTAATTGAATAGTTTCTATCTTTTAAAATAATGACTATTTAGTTTTCAAAGTTTCTGTCTTCCACAGCAACGTATTATTGGTTTATTGTTTTATCTTTCTTCCTCATTATGTGAGTGTTATATTTGTATGTGTGTTTATTCCTTTGTCCTTTCAAAATCGTTTAGTGTTTATACCCACTGCCTCTGAGGAATTTGGGTTTTTTGGTCTGTTTTTATTTATTTTTAATTGACAAATACTAACATATGGGGTATAATGTGATGGGATATATACTTATGGGGTACGATGTTATGTTTTGATAAAAGTATATATTGTGGAAAGATTAAATCAAGCAAATTAACATAGCCATCATACCACCTACTTGTCATTTGTGGTGAGAATATTTAAAATTAACTCTTAGCAATTTTGAGGTATATAGTACATTATTATTTTTATTTTTATTTATTTATTTTTTTTTTTGGAGACAGAGTTTCGCTCTTGTTACCCAGGCTGGAGTGCAATGGCGCGATCTCGGCTCACCGCAACCTCCGCCTCCCGGGTTCAGGCAATTCTCCTGCCTCAGCCTCCTGAGTCGCTGGGATTACAGGCACGCGCCACCATGCCCAGCTGATTTTTTGTATTTTTTTAGTAGATACGGGGTTTCACCATGTTGACCAGGATGGTCTTGATCTCTTGACCTTGCGATCCACCCGCCTCGGCCTCCCAAAGTGCTGGGATTACAGGCTTGAGCCACCGCGCCCGCCCGGCCTTAGTACATTATTATTAACTATAGTCACTATGGTGTGCAATAGATCTCTAAAACTTACTCCTGTAACTGAAACTTTGTATCCTTTGACCTCTCTCCTTTCCTATTTCCCCACTCTCTGCAGCCTCTGTAGACTGCCATTCTGCTCTCTGCCTCCCTGAGCTTGGCTTTTTTTTTTTTTTTAAAGATTTTACATATATGTGAGATCATGTAGTATTTGGTTTTTTTGTGTCTGGTTTATTTCACTTAGCATAATGTCCTCCAGGTTAATCTATGTTGTTGAAAATGACATAATTTTCTTCCTTTTTAAAGGCTATATAGTGTTCCATTCTGTATCTATACCACATTTTCTTTATCCATTCATCACTGGATCGTCACTTAGGTTGTTTCCATATGTTGGCTATTGTGAATAATAGCATTTAACTTTTGCATGTTGTGAAAAGATTTTGTAGGTCTAAGACATTTTCTTCAGAGAGCTATTTCCCTCAGTAGGTTATTCACTTATTGCATTTTTAAAGAAAAATAAGGCACAGCAATTTTGACATGCAGGTAACTGAATGGACAATAAGGATAAATTATCAAGTAATATTATTTTGTGAAAAACTAGTTTTATTATTGTCTTATTTTGTATGTGTTGACAATTTGTATTAAAATAAATTTGTTGTTTTAATACCCTGTGGGTCGAATTAAACACTTTCCCCTCCTTTTCTTCACCTAATCTTGCTCTTTTGCCCTTTTTAAAAAATAAGTCCCATCGCATATGTCTTTTATTGTGATACTTCATATGGTTTATGGAAGTAGCTGGGTTTAATAATTTGCCCAAACATATCTCTACATAAAACATAATTTTTTCATTTTTAATTGTGTATAGTACCAAAATAATACTCATAATTATCCCTACTTTTCTGATAGAAATCAGTGACTCTAATGTATCATAGATCCTTTTAGGTATCTC